GTTATTAGCAGTACTGCATTTTAATTTTAGAAAGCACAAATCTGCTTATGAATTATAAAAATTAGTGAGAGCGCTGAAGCGCACACAAAATATTTAGCGGATTTGTGCTTTAGCGTGCTGGTGCCCACCACTGAATAAGAGTATTTACACTGGCTCGTCATGACAGTGCAGGGCAGCGAGTGGACGGTAATCTGCCAAAATTAGAGTCATCTTTTGCCCGAGCTGCTCCGGAGTCAATGTACAAAAATCACACAGCTCCAACAGGAAGAAGAACAAGCACAATGTTGGTATTTTCAAAATAATTTCCCAAAGACAGGCCAGTTTGGTCAAGATTTTTGCTATTTTAATAAATATATGGGTAGAGAGAACTTATTTCAAGTGGCAAAGCAGGTTGGAAGTTGGTTATTTGATGTTATTTATCATTTTAGTCCTTCAGGCTATGACATGTTGATTAAAGTTTTTTTTTAAATCCGTAAAACTTGGAAAAAAATCAATGAGATTGGTCTAGTAACAACAGCATACCTGCAAAATAGGGGAAAAATTATAGACTGTACAACTTGACATACTGCACTTGAGGAACACATTGGGACAGGAGACACTGAGTGGACTCGCCACGTTGTCCATAAAAAACATGAGATTAAAGAAAATACCTATCATGAGTCTGCAGAGCGCAAAGCTTGATGTATGCCCTTCATTAGTAGTGAGTAGGCCTAAAGTACTTCTTTTTGAAACTGTGTTTGTGAACCTGTGGGACGCTGTGCCAGTTTTACTAGCTACTGATAGGCTCTGAGTTGAAATAGATAAAGCAGGTGTCAAAATGWTTTGATCACTGTCCACAGTGCTGAGCTGCTTTTTAATTTGTGTTGTTTTATCATTAGTAGCTGAATGTTTGGTTTTCTTGATTTATTGTACTTCACGTCTGTTTGATGGACTTCAAAATGACAGTCTGAGGTGCTGAAGCTTGTAAGCCCTGTTGTTGCATGTGTATGTTGTAAAATGATGTTATTTAGGACGCGGCCATTTGTCCTGCCCCTGGGCCCGGCTCTGTTTTGTTCTGCTAGTGATCCCGCTGATATAATAAACTTCATCGGTGACCAGCTGGTTACTGAACGATACAGCGGAAAACCAATTCATTATTTCGAGAAAACCATCGAGAAATGAACTCATCCCGAGAAAACGCTCATCGTAATTTTGTGATAATGTCGTTATCACAAGAAAGCCATGCGGAAAAATCAGCAAAATTATCAACTTCCGTACATCAGGACACAGAGCTGTACAGAAGTTATTACAAATCTATTTTTTAAATCATATTATTAGCAATGTTTTTAAATCCTAGTGCATCATTTAAAACTTTATATGCATTTTACATTGATATATTCAGAGTTTAATTGTCTTTTACTCAACTATAAAGATATAAATTAAAAAATATTAACTTTTTTTTCTACTAAATGAAAATGTATGGATACTGGCCTTTCAAACCCATATTTGTCAAACCTTAAATGTATGAAGCTGCAGTCAGTGGAGGGGAAGCTCGAGTTGAAAGGGTCAAAGACACTGAAAGGCATCGCGTGATAAGAAAGAATTAGGACACCATTTTTAGGTAAAAAAAAAAGTGTGAATCTCTGTATTGGGGAATGTTTTCCAGGAACTTGGGGTTACATGTAGGTTGCTGGATTTGAAATGATGCAGGATGGTAAGGGTCTTTAACAAGAAAGTGCTCTGTTTTCTTCTATTTGTAGGGTCGTAGGAACCTGGTCACTTTCGAACGCAACAGCTTGATAAAAGAGCGAGGAAACATCTCTCTGGACTCTGCTGTTGTGTACTTGAAGTAGTTCTGAGGGTGGGCCAGAACGTCAAACAGTGCTTTTATCAACTTCTTGTCCTACAAGGAGGAGAAAGACACATAAGAGGTCCAATTTCTGCACCGATTTGATAATAAAAAAGTAAATGTTCTACTGCTGGGATTGTATGCATTTGGTGTTAATTAGTTCTAATAGAAGGTGGGCCTTTTTTTTACTACCTTCAGTATCTCTTGGTGATTCTCTGATGCGTAAAGCCTGCCATCTCGCACAATATCCTCTATCAGCTGCTGGTAGTCCTCTACAACACAGAAATGTTAAAAGAAAGGGGAGGGAAAAGTGTGCAAGTATCCTGATGCTTCTCAGTAATCCAGGTAGAAAAAATCAAAAAGAAAAAATAAGTAGGTCCTCTGGATGGGTTCTTCTTTAGTGAAACGTTTCGTCTCTCGTCCAAGAGACTTCTTCAGTCTGATGAGTTTCAGGTGAACCAAGAGCACTGCCTGGCTTGATTAGCTCTATTGTTC